ACCCGAATTGTTTGTGAACAGAAGCGTTCGTGACCCGAGGTACCACTGTATGCAGAGATCAAATAAATACTTCCACTGCATTAATTCATGAATTTGCTATTTAAATTAGTATGTTGGTATGCTTCCCTAGTCTATGTTGAACTAGGAAACTAGACTGAAATACCTGTTATGGAAGACATTTTCTATTGTGTATTAGTGGTCTAATCATCCTCCTTCATGTTTACAACAGCTGTGATTGTATCACTGTGTTGCTCTCAGGATATAGGCTCTGCTAAATTAGAAGGTAAAGTCTCCTATGGGTTGACCTCACTTCTTTGGTAGCTTCATTGACTCTACCATATACTTTTCTTGGCAATCATAGGATGTCATCCTGAATGTTTTTTTGACTTCCTCATTTAGTTTGGCCCCTGGCATTTCTTGGATATTTTCCATCCAAGTACTGACCAGACCAGGCCTTGCTTAGCTTCCAAAGTCACCTAAGTGCTGCTGAGAATACTGAGAACTCACTACAAAATTGTGTGTCTTCAGGAGTCATTGATGTAGACATACATCAAAGACCTCCTCTCCTAGAGGTAATGTAGAAACAAGACAGATCAGCTGCCCCAGTGATCCCAAAGGGATTGTACTGGTCAAATTAGAAGAGCGAGAACCAGTTCAGCTCTATAAAGAAAACATCTTAAACTTCAGAATTCAGAATGCTGAGAATATATAATGCACCGCAATCACCTGAAAACTGAGAGTCCAGCTGGTTCAGCCAGTGGTCTACTTTGGCCAATATGTTTCAAAGAAGATGCTACAAGAAAGATTGGAGGAATGGAGAGACATGGCCTTCCGGATATGTATTATTCTTAATCATGGAGGTTTTGCTGGATTTGAAGGACTCATAATTAATTAAATTTATTTGTTTCTTTTAAAGCTATCTCACTCATATCCTTTAAAAGAAGGACATTTCTTTCTAGAAAATTTTGCATTGGTTTTGGCAAGGAAGCAGGCATGGAACAGACACACACACCCCGTCCCATCCTCCAGATATGGCTGTAGTAAACATTGATTGTGTGTGCTAATAAACTTTGTGTGAGAGAATTGCTCTGTGTGCATGAAATTAATAAAAGTTCACTTAAGCTTTGGTCTTCTCCATTTCAGATAGTGGAATTGGTCTAGAAAATGGAATCTTTGTTGCTACAGTAATGACTGGTAGTCCAGCTGCCAAGGATGGATCCCTCACTGTGGGAGATAGAATAATTGCTGTAAGTTACATTTCAACCTGTTTTAGTCCATAGATGGGATTTGCCATAGAAACTCGAACCAGATAAGAGGCAAAGCCTATTTGGCCAGAAGTGGTGATAATATATTCTAAAGTTACTTTGGAGATAAACATGCTTTAAAATCTCGGTACCATCACCCTCAAAATTATAATCTCAGTATGAAAAAGCTACGTTTATCTTGTCTCTTTGTTTCCAAAAGGAGCTAGTATAGGACACAATTTTTTGATTTAGAATAATCAACTCCTTTTTCACAATCTCTCTCTTCTTTTATATACACTGTTGTTCATTTTTCCTTTCTTTATTCCCCTCTGTCAATCATTTTTCCTCCTCCTCTTCAAATCATTTTAGCTTTTTTCCCAGCTTTTCTTAGAAGGAGCAGTCCAGTTCCATTCTGTTAAAGTGATAATCTACTATTTCATCATAGCTTGTGCCACGCAAACTATCATTTGAACTTCTAAATATGCAAACAAAGTTTGATTTTTCAGTTGCTGAGCACTACAGTTTCTAGGTCATGCTGGTTTCAGGCCATGTAAGCACAAACTACTTTTTGTAATGTCTCTTCCAACGTGGTTTCGTCTAGTTTGGCTAGTTGGCTACAAGCGGTAGTCTGTCAATCCAGACATCACACTGAACAGTAGCTAAGATTTCATAACAGTAGTTTTTGGATCAGTGAGTGACAAGTTTTCTTCATGTCAAGTTTATGATTTGGGGCAAAGAACTAGGCTGGTACTGTGAAGCAATGCAGAGTCAGAAATGCTTGCTGTCCTCCTTTCTGGCTTTGATTGTAATAAATACATGTATATATGTATGCGTGTTGCTGTTCTCCAGATCATTCACAGAATTGCCTTCTCTTCCTATCCCTGGCAAAGGTATGTAGAAAAAAACGTTTGTAGATCATTCTGGAGTCATAAGTCCTTAAAATTCAAGTTTGGTTATGAATTTTCCCAATCAGAGCACATAATACTCCTTGAAGAAACACATGTACATTTTGGGAGCTACACACAAAACCTGCACAGCCATAGTTTCCTTAGAACAGGGCTGTGAATGGAAGCTCCATGGAATCCTTGAACCTTTCTTTCCACTTCAGGAGCTTATTCTGTCCACATTTGCTAAAAATCCATGATGCCAGTTGAAGGAGAAAAACTGCAGTGCTAAACAGGTTTAACAGAAAAAACGAGGGGGTTGGGTGGAAGAATAATATCCTGGTCCTTTCCATGTGCAAGGCATGGTCTGAACCAGTTTGCAGTGTCTCCCTGCTCATTTTGTACCTCCCCTTCCAAAAACTTAGTGTGGCTCAGAAAATTGCTCTCTCTCGTCTTACTATTCTAATACTGAAATTTGATTCAGGCCGTTGCTGTCATTGTGTGTTAGGGTTCCTGTTATTGTGCAAAGTAGAAGTATATCTCTAAGCACTAATAAGCAAGTAAACAAGAACAGCTTGTTTTTAAGAATTTGGTGTGGAAAACCTCTGAATCTGGCAGACCGGTATTGAATACAGTGAACAGCCTAGTAATTCCTTGGCTGTTGCATGTTTGATATGTCTCTGTTTCCTTGCAGATAAACGGCATTGCACTAGATAATAAATCACTGACTGAATGTGAAGCTCTGCTGCGAAACTGCAGGGAGTCTCTTACACTTTCACTGATGAAGGTGAGTGGGAATGAAGAGCATTTGTCTTTCGTTGGTACATAATATTTAATAGGAGAGGATTCCATCCTTTGTATCACCCAGCTTTACAGTGTTCCTCCTCTTGTATTCTGACCCTCCCAAAAACCTGCCACCGTGCATAATCCCCATTTCTTCTTCTGAAGGAAG